CGCACATCCCTAATATATATATATATATATATATATATATATATATATATACACATACATACTGCTATATATAAATACTATATAAATAAGTCAAACCGAAGCTCCATTCATTCAGTTTGATGAGTGGGAAAACCACAAGTTAAGAAGTTGTCAAACATGAAAAGGGGAGCATTTAGAATGGACTACAACAGCATTTTCATGTCATGCATTTCAGAGTCGACTCAAAAATGAGCATTTAGCACTCTGGTTTACCGAACATCCAATCTAACAAACTCACAGCCACTGGATGTTGTTTTTGGATTTCTTGCGGATGAGTTGCACACCCTCTAAAACATTTGTGATGTCATAGATGCGTCTCTTCTGAACCTCCAGAACTTCTGTGGCCCAGTTGAGATCCAGAACCCCATCAGCCGACTCGCTCAGCAAGCCCACAAATTTTTTAGTCAGCAGGCCAAGGGAAGTGTCATAACGGGTGCGCTCCCCTGGAGACTTGGGAGCTAGAGAGAGATAGAGAGAAAGAAAGATACAACAGAGGCATTCTTTTAATAATAGTTTGAATATTACCAGCTGCAGTTCCTACCAGAAGAGCAAGAGATGCTTGGACAGGTGTGTTTGATTTTCAAACCATTATCAGATGCCCTAAAACAGGTATGAACTTCCACCCCTCACTCATCATATGGAAACGGTGGTCTTAAACAAAAGGTCCAGTTTTCTCGAACAGTGATTGCGTTGACATTTGTTGTACTCACTTTTGGGGCTTGGTGCCCTTACACACGCAGAGTTTCCTTTCCCATTTGGTGTGCGGAATTCTGGGAGGTAAAGTGGCTCTTCCAGATCTAGTCTCCTTTTGGCCTGGGACAGAAAGACAAGATAATGTTAATTATGTCTGCCTTAAACTGCCTGTAGAAGATGCAGTTACACCAAACTATTTGAATGAACATAGCTCTAAGTTTAGCATTGTGTTCTTGGTTTCTATGAACGTTGCACGATTTTTCAGATAAACCACATTTGTTCAAATAGGAAAATTCAGTGTTGAAAAGCTCATACAGCGAGACACACTTGAGTGAAAGTGTATTCTGTATTGCATTGTTCAAGAACAATTACTCCCAGGCCTGGATTGGCTAATCGGGAGCACCGGGAGGATTCCCGGTGGGCCGGTCTATATTTTTGTCCCGCTTCACAACGAGCAGGACTTGCGCTAACCGCAATTCCCTTCACCGTCCGAGTTTTGATTTTGCCAAATCGGTTTGGGCCAATGCAAACAACTTATTGATCATGAGCCTAACATCCAGCAAGGCAGGAAAACATTCAATCTACCCAAGGGAAGACGTCTTTCATTATAAGTTAATGCTGTTAAATAGAGAGAAAAAAAAATACATAAAAAAAAAATAACTAGCGTATTCTTAACCGTGGACCTCATTATTGAAGTACAAATCCAAGCACCAGAAGCAGCCCATACTCTAAGTTTTCTTTAATTTAAAAATATGCACTTTCATTCATTCAAAGGCTATATGATTGTAATGATATTTTAGTTCAAAACTTTAAGTGCCATTGTTTAAAATGCTTTATTGACTGATGTTTCATAGACCATCAGTTGTTAGCTTTCAAATTTCATGCCATTTGTAATTTCACAGTATTTTCACCTCCTAAATTATACACTTGTGATTTGTGAAGTCACAATTCTATATTGGTACAATTTACTCAGGCCGATGACATTTTTTGTATGACATTAAAATTATTTTTAGAATAATTGTACACAAATACGTTAAGCAAAACGATTGTGATTATTTCTGAGAACTTTTTACCTGCATGCAGACGTCCCTTATTCTGTCCCTTATTTTCTTAAAGAATAAACACTTATTTTCTACAAGAATAGAAGAATAAACACTATTTTCTTAAAGAATAAAAGAAAGAATCACAATTGTCCCTTATTTTCCATTTCTGAAGTTAATTGGCAACCCTAATGATGACGTAATTATCTTTTGATTCCCGACAGCGGCACCTTGCTCAAAAAACAAAAACACATCAGTTGTTGGAGATATGCGAGCAAAAAATAATAGATCAAAGAAAATGCATAATAGAAAGCGCAAAAGGTGGCACTAAAAAAGGTCAGTACCAAAAAAAAAAAAAAGTGGGCATGAAACTCCAGGGCTGAAAATGATCTGAAAATGAGTCCCACTCCGGCCCTGATTACTCCTCTTTCCTAAAGTGCCTGAATATACACGGTGACTTTAAATCAGTCTCTGTCCTAAAAAAGAAAAACAAGTTCTGGCCCTTCTTTCCTTGAGATGTTCACCTCAACAACTACTCATATTAGTCGATTGTAAGAAAGGTGTGGGGTTTAAACAATCTAAATGACTGGAAAAAAAAGCGCAAGTATCATCCATGCACATGTTTCTTTTTGCTTACAACAAGATCAATAACGTGTTAAGAATTTCAATTTCATGTCGACTTTAAATTTAATTGACAGGCGAGTAGGCAGCCCACTGTCTAGACACCTCAGGACGCATTAGAGTTTACATTATAAGCAGGAAGTGATCACGTTTTCAACTAGCTTTAACTTGATTGATCAGGTCACAAAGAATCTGAGCATTTAACACTGTCCTTGTATGATTAAGGCCACATCCACACGAAGCCAGAGCCTTCCCTATCAGATCTTTTTTTCTTCTTCCTCATTCTAAAAAAAAAATTCCATGAACACGTCGCCATCTCAGAAATATCTCGTACACACAAAACCACTGAAACTGACTTAAAACGATGTAGTATACATGCCAGACCAGTATGTGGCGCTGTAATTCTGCCACAGAGAAACATTAAAAACAGAGAAGAGGACTTGGAGCATGCGCATAAACCTTGCGCGCAATATACAAACCCAACACAACCATCCGCCATTGTTGCTGTTATTCATGGGGTGACGACATCGGCGCGTTTCACAAAATATATGGATTGGCTGTACACATGAAAACGCAAGGGTGTCATTTTCATATCTATCCACCAGTTTCAAAAAATTGCAGTTTCAGGCTCCCAAAACGCAGAATCCGTCTGGACAAAACGCTGATACGATACAAAATTTTAACGTATACAACTAAATGCGTCTCTGTGTGTACGGGCACTAAATCACTGCAAAATGGATATCAAATCACATTTAAACAGGGTCTAAAAAACACAGAACCTGACAGTGTAATCTTCTGGTTAGTGCAATGGGATTCAAATTGTCTTTGAGCCTGACATCTGTATTAATATTCAACCCTTTTACCATTAAAACCTTTAAGGAGGGCATGACCTCAACGTTTACACATTTCTGAAATCTTTAGCATTCCACAGTGGGCAGATGGGCTGGTTTCAGCAACCCAACTCCACAAAAAACTGGTTTAAAAAGCCAACTGACATGGAAATCTGCACCCACATGTGCCTGTTTGATTTCCAGTGGCATTCAGGACTGCAATTTACTCAAGACTGGATACTTCTGTAACAGGCACAGGGCATGTGCTGAGAACAGTTCACTCATCCTGTGTGCGCAAGCGTCTGCAAAAATGCTTGCATTGTCCTGACCTGAATGACGTCTACACCTGTCACTGACATCTGGAGCCACTGAACAGGTGGTTGGGGGAGAGGAGGAGCATAATCTTTCCGTTTTTTCGGTTTCCCCCCACCTTTTCTAATGACTCTTTCCACCTTGTCTCCCTTATTTGTTTTATATTATGCAACCTTTATTAGAGAAGCAAACACATATGTGAGGTCTGCCAAAAAAATTCTGAAATAAGGGAACATTTACTGATTGTAGCAATTACCCTTTTATTCAGCTTTTTAAACAAATTATAAATTAAAATTTAAAATATTTTATAATTTCTGCATTGACGCAATGACAACATAAGTCCATTACTTAGGTTCACAATTCTTTTTTAATTTTTATATAGTACAACTGAATCTTGCTGTTATAGCTGAATTTATATTATATGAAATTAGAATTTATATGATATTATATGAAAGATTATCCCTTACAGGAAAACATAATTTGGGTTCCTTGCCAAAAAGGTTAAAAAAACAATAAGTTTAAGCTAAGAGCTGTTTTGGAGCCACCACTAGATGTTTAAATTAGAGGCTTGTGGACTCCCTCAAGACTCTGAGGGAACGTTGTTGAATTGCCATCAAATCTGTGTTAGCGTCAGCTGTTACCATGCTTTAGCACAGCAGATGAACACACACCCACCTGGGTGTGAGAAGGGGGCCTTTGTGTGGTTTGGTTTCTCAGAACAGCAGCATCTCATGTCTGTAAGAATTTGTGGTTGGTTCTGCCTATTTCCTGTGTAGGTGGGAAATGAGAAGTGAGAAATGCTGGCTCAAAGCATATGGGGTGGAAGCTGAATCATTCACTTCTAAAGCACTGATCTGGGAGCAGCTTCACCTACTGAAATCCAAACTTTAACTACTAATAACTACACCAGTTTGCTAATAAACATATTTACATCAGAAAATGGCTCAGGAGTTTCCTAAAAATATGTAAATCCACAGAGTAAGCTAACATCACACACAGCAGTGGCTGTACAGGTTAGCAAAAACACCCATGTTTAGGCAAAAAGTACGTATATATGGTATGCATGCAGAATTTAATAAATCAAATATTCCTGTACATTGTATGTGTGGGTAACCTTGAATACTTTGGATAAAAATGCCAAATGCATAAATGTCAATTTTTGTCGAGATTAAATAAAAAATTGTGACAAGCGTACACAGCAACAATCAGCAGCTGTACGCAATCTTTGCAACAGGTTAAGATACATAACTTATTATTATGATTGAAAAATTCATAATGATTATTTTTAGTTATCGCAGTATCAAATAAAAAAGCATTAGACACTTGTTCTTAATATCAGCTTTTGCTATCAGACACAAAATATTATCAGTTATCAGTATGAAATCATAAAAACAATACTGGCTGATGTCTCTTACACCGCACTCATTATTGTTAAAATACGACTTAAATAACCAGAAAAGACATTCAAAAAGACATGCACCATTTCTCTTCTCACTCAAGAATAAAAAGAGAGAGACAAGAGTCTGGGATCAAGTGACTACAGAGATCATGGTGAAACCCTATGAAATACTCAGCACTGCCATGGCACAATGCTCACATAGCGGGCAATGTTTCACTAATAGCTATTTCAACAAGAGTTACACGAAACCTGATCATTTCCAGTAACTTCTAGAGGACGTTTCATCATTTAAAAAAAACCCTACTTATTGTTCTTTATTCATATACAGCATATTTACACTACTGCTCAAACATTTGTGGGTTGGTAATTTTTTTACGCTCACCAAAGCTGTATTTATTTGATGAAAAATACAGCAAAAACAGTCATTTGTTAAATATTACAATTTAGAATAACTTTTCTATTTTAATATTTATTAAAATGCAACTTATTCCTGTGATAGCAAAGCTAAACTTTCAGCAGCCGTTACTCCAGTCTTCAGTGTCACATGATTTTTCAGAAATAATTCTAATATGCCAATTTGGTGCTCAAGAAACATTTCAAGACATGTCAAGAAACAAATGTTGAATACAAGTATTAATTCCTTTCAAACATTTGAACGGCAGTGTCATTTGGTGCAAATGAAAACAAGGCTTTGAGGGAAATACAATGTTGAGTCTTCACACAAAATACACCTATCGAAAAAATCCTCATGAGTCAATTTCTATGGAAAACACTAGTTGTGAAATTTGAATAGGATGCTTTCATTCAGAGGTCTCAAATGGTTTTCAGTGTGTACCATAAAAGTCTTGGATATTTAATAGGGCTGAAACGACTAGTTGACATTATCGACAACGTCGACAAAAAAAAATTGTCGACAAA